CCAAACTTATGATTGCAAGCCCAAGTATGTTAATTTGATCTCTTTGATCCAATAACCTTGAGATTCATTGTGTAGAGGCTTTGGTTCTACCAATCCTCTAATGGATCTACAACACCTTTGGTCAACGCGGATCACTTAAACATCGTTGATCATTAAATGTTACTTTTGAGGATTCCAAAATGGATGATATACTTGACAAAATGAAAATGAAACTTGTTGTGTGGAGGCTTTGGTTCTACCAATCCTCTAATGAGTTCCAAATGTAAGTTTCAAGATGGTCATCCAACTAACCACTAATTTCTAACAATTGACTTTATTTTATGCTTTTATTTTTTATGCTTTATGTACCATTTAATTTAAGCATTTACATCTCATGCTTTTTCTTTTCTTTTTGCTCACTCGAGCATTTACTTTTATGTCATTTTTATTTTGCTCACTTGAGCCTTTCTTTTCCCTTTAAAGACACCTAATAATCAACACGGACCATAAAAATCTTTAATGATACTTGGACTATTTGGTTACTATCCACAGAATTATGGAGCATTGGACTTCTTGGACTTAGGATTAGAGACCCTGGCCTATCTTGGAGACTTTCTGACTTTATTTGATATTTTGTTTGGAGTTCTTGAGGTTTACCTCAAGACATTGGGTTGTTTGTTTGTTTTGTGTGCATGTTATTGTGACTACATACTTTGTTTTTAATTTGGAATTCACCCGTATACAGACGTTACTCTGCCCAATTTTTGCAAAGACTTAATACACTTGAAGTTTGGTTCTCTCAAGAGGTCTAGTATCTTTGCTTGCTTGGTTCCAATCCAAAGAATGGGAATTCTATATTGACTCATAATGTCAAGTATTGGCTTCTTGTTGGTTAGATGGTTCTTATCCCTAGCTTTTACCTTATGCTTTAGGATAATCTCTTCATCTTCTCCCATCTTCTTTAATTTCAAAAATCTTCTCCCTCCTTTTAAAAACTCTTCTTATTTCTAAACTTAAAACACTTTCATAATAAACTTGGACTTATGTCCATGCATTTTTTCAAAACATTTTCATAAATAAATTTCAATCAATTTAATAATACCTTGACATTTTTGTGAGAAGACTAAAAGTCAATCAATCTTATTTCAAACCATTTTTGCCACTTTGGCTTTTTATTTTAAAACATTTCTTAAAAGATTAGACTCTTGTCAACCCCTGTAGTGATGCAAAAAACTATACTTCTACAATATGTAGTAAAGAGAGATATTTTCCACTTGGGTGTTGAGTGAGGCATTGTTGATTTTAAAATCCAAGCCATATCCTCCACTTTGAGATGATGCAAATTATCCTTTTTCATGATTGTGGGTAGTAAGTATGTTTTCCACACGGACAATGACGATGATGTCTTATCTCATAAAATTAACCAACACACTTGTGTTTTAAATTTTTAAAAGAGGAACTACGTGTACCCTGATCCCCTATTGCACGAAAGGTGGTACATAGGCACTAAAGATTCGCAACCGCGGAGGGTGCAAAAATCATAAAAATATTTCTTTTCTCACCTCCACCATCCATTTTATATACAACACATTTTTATAACCAAAATATACAGATTTTACAAAGAGGTTCCTGCGGAGTACCGTAGATGTGTAGGGTGATAATACCTTCCCTTTGCATAAACAACCCCCTTACCTTGAATCTTTCCCCCCTTTTTTGGGTTATTCGCTCTTTTCCCATTCCTTTGGAAACAATAAAGCGCGGTGGAGATTTTTATTTTAGGTTTGTATAAAGTCTAGTCAATCCAATGACTTAGTCTTGAACATTTCTACCGCTACACTATGGCTTGAGATTTCAGCTCCACATATTCTAGATAACCACTATGTAGTCCTTTGCATAAACTGAAGGTAACAAGATCAAAAGTATGACGTCACTGGCATGGAGTCAAAGTAACCACCCGTAAGGTATGTACTAGGGGTTCATCACCTGCCGGACAAGGTTCTAGGGAAACCTCAGAGTCTTTTCTCTTCCTTTAGATATTATCGACGTCCCGATTACTCGGTAATCAGTAATATTCTTAGGAAAAACTCATTCGAGTGCAGCATCACATGAAAACTATTTCTGAATTACTCTATTATAGTCTCCGCACTACACCTAAAAAGTCCAGGATGGATTGATGGTTCTATGGCTCTCAGCTTCTCTAGTTCCCAGGTTGAAAGCAAAAATGTCTTCCCGATTACTCGGTAAACAACGCTACATTCAAAGGGGCCTCAACTGAGTGGGGGATTTCATGCCTCCTTCTTCGGGATTACTCCCTCAAAGTTAGCATGACTATACCTCCCATTCTAATCCTAAGTGTAACCAAAATCCGGGTATAGGACTTATCAAAAGTAATCACCTAACCCAACACCATAAAAGAAACATCATATACAAAATATATGAGTAGCAACAGTATAATGAAATATATACAAAATAATACAATAAAGAAATAAATAAATAAAATAGTAAATCAAATAAAGAAAATAAATAAACACCCAAAAGACAAATAAACAAAACTAGGATAGACTTGCAAAAGGAATCCCCAGTAGATTCGCCAGCTGAAGCTGCCGCAAAAAACATAGAGCCGCCACCGAACTTTATCTATCTCGAAGGAAGGGGAAATATCGAGAAAACCACAAGAGGATGGATAAGATGGTCTTTCAACCAAGAGATAGGGTAAGGAAGTCAGTTATGAAAGGGGAAGTTATTAGCACCCCTCACATCCATTATACTCAATGAGATCCATTTTGTTTGCTTCTAAGGGTGTGTTTATCTATAACTATACTTGCTAAGGGGAAAGGAAATGGTTTATTATTATTGCATTCATGAGGATCTCAAAGATCTTTTCCTACGTATCCAATGAAGGAATCAGAATGTCGTAGTTCCTCTAGAAAAAGTTAGGTTGTTGGTGTTTTTCAGTGGGTGACGTTAATGCACGCATTCTAGCAATAGGTGCGGCATGTATTGCAATAAAACAGAGATAACATGCCCTTTTGTGGAGTTTTTATTGGTTGGATGTTTTTGCGAGTTTTAGAATAAATTCGAATAATGATTAAATGTTTTTGGTTTTTTTTATTTGTGAATGATAAGTTTTAATAACAAAAGAAGTAAAAGTTTAAGAGGGAGACTAGAAAAACCCTAATGTTGTCATGCATGGGTTCTAGACTAACGTCTAATTAGTTCGCATCCTAAAGAAGAGGAAATTATCATCCTAAGGGAGCATGCTCATAAGCACAAAGTAAAAAGAGAAAGTGTTTGTGAAGAGTAATCGTGCATGGTGATCATAGCAAAAAGTGACAACAAAATGGGTAGTATCATGAAAGGCGTAAATGGAATTCTCGGTGTATGGGGATTAAATCGGGTTATGATTAACCAAGGGGTGTACTTGATTAATCTCGTTAGAGTAGGTGCTCCTACCCTCAACTATGAGACCATTTATGCATGGAAACACTTGGTATATAGACCAAAGTGGTTGATTCGGGTTATGGTTAACCAAGGGCAAGACTAGATTAACCTCGTGAGAATGGTCATGCCCAAACTCAACTATGCGACCCTTTAAGAATATGCTTGGTATGTAAACCAAGGGGAGAGAAGTTTCCTCAATGGATAAGATGAAAATCAAATTCCCATACAAGGTGGCTATATGCATGCTCCTAGAAAGTGGGACTAGCGTGACACTAGTATTCTGAACGACCAATTGAAACAACCGATCGAATAGTTGTCGTTGTAGAAAAGCTCAGGACCAAACTATGAAATGTGTGTGAGTGTGCATTTGTAAGTGGATAACTGCTCATTGATGATGAGCCCAAAAGGAGACCAAGTGTTCTAATTTGGACAAAATATGAATAATTAATAATTTAAACATACAGAGAAAAATAGCAAAGGAACAAAATTCTAAATTATTACTAACCATATGGGGACGGGGGTACAAGTTTGATGAATGGGAACGGATCAGATTGAAAGTTCGATTAAGAATCTAGTTAAATAAGCAATACAACCAAATCGAAAATTAACAAACAAACTAATTAAACTATCTATAAAAATTAACTATTCTAAAGGACTAATAATATTTAATAAAAAAATTTAGTTTAATAAGTTATTAAAAAGAAAAGTAATCAAATTTTTATTATTTTTCTTATGATTTTTAATTAAAGAAATTATTAAAAAGAAAGTTTACTCTAAACTTATTTTTGTGATTTTTAATTAAAGAAGGAGAATTTAAAAGAAAATAAAATCTAAAGATATTTTTTTGTGGTTTTTTTAAGTAAATAAAAAATATTAAGACTAAATCTTTTTGTTTTTTGTATATTTTTTATTAAAGGAAATATTAAGTGAAAATTAAAAACCTAATTTTGAATAATAAAAATATAATATTTTCTAACCTAATTATTTATTTTAAAACAAAATAGTTTTGTATTATTATTATTTTTTATATTATATAAATTCAATTAAAAGAAAATTACACCTAACTCTATTTTTTGTGATTTTAACGATAATAATCCTAAAATATTTAATTATTTATTATTAGCGAATAAAGAAAACTAAGATGAAGAAATTAAGAGAAACAAAACATAATTACCAAAAATAAATATTATTAAATAAAAAATAAAGCAAAATATTAAAACAAGTAGAAAATAAATCAGAAACAGCAAAATAGGAGAAAGAGTTGGGCCCAGTTGGGGGGATCTGGTCCGGGTTTGGCCCAATTAGAAGTTGTATGGAGAGGGAAAAAAACCTTGAAGCCTAAAGGAAAGGTGGCCGCTGGTGCTAATTGGGAATTGGTCAACAAATTTAATCTCCATTATTCTTAATTAAACCCAAATAAAGTCAAAATTAAGAACAACAATAATATTTACACGGTTCACTCTCTCTCACTCGTTCACGCTTTTCCTCTTCCATTCGTTCTTCTTCACTCACCGTAAAAAACAACAAAAAACTTCTTCCAAATTTCTCAAATGGATCGACCTCTCTCGGTGCATCAACTCTCACGGTTCATCACCATCTCTCAACACTTTCATGAAATCCCCCTTGGTTTCGATCGACGATGGTGATTTCTGGTACAGCAGCGATAAGTTCAAATCGACAGAGACGGTGACACTCTCAGGTATGGGATTCAATCCTCTCTTCCCTTCTTCGATTCTGCTGAGATTCGAAATTGCTTCTGATTGAGTTTTTATTGTCGATGTCGTTGCATATCTATGATTGTTGCTCAGGGGAGTTGATGAGAGGATGCAATAAGTCAATGTTGAGATTATTGTGAGAAATCTATGTATGCTTTTGAGTGTTGTTGATGTCTGATGAAGGTGGTTTTGTATTAAGGTTGTGTTGAAAACTTCTGATGTCATTTGGCGGGAGTTTGAGAATGTTATGGTATAATTTTTTCTATGAAATATTTTGTTGTTATTTATTCACGATTCGAACTTGACATTACAACAACAACACTCAACTCTATTCGATTCTTACCTGTTTATGGTTCTTTTTTTTTCTAGCTCTGTTTTACAAATCAACATTATGAAGCACAAAAATAACACTCGCTTTTTTTCATCTCACACGGTTTTATGATTTTACAACAGACGAGATCACGCCTCTGTGCCTTTCTTCTCATTTGAGCTAACACATTCTAAATATTCAAGGACGTACAACAGCAACAACAAAAAAACTTTTTTTTACGGTTTCAAGCTTTCAATCACAAAACAAACAACATACAGTACAACAATACAATTAAACATTAATTATGCTCATACAAGACATCAGACCCACACAATGGTATTAAAGGAGTGAAAATATCGTGAGATCAACTAATCGGAATCGATGATTCCTCTAGCGACTTTGAAGGTGACGACGTTGTTGCAGAGAAGACCAGAGATATTTTCAGGTGAATAACTTTTTGTTGCAATAAACTTTGTTCCAAGTTGATTCTTCTTCTTCTTTGGTTTTGTTCTCTGAGTTGCGAACTATGAAAAAAAGGTGAGGATATTGTTGTTTCTATATTTTTAGGATTTTTAGGTGAAAGGAAGATAGTGCAGGTTTGAAAGAAATGAAGGCAAGGTTAAATTACAGAAGTTGGAGGAGATTGTTTTTGTGGTTTGAGAAATTTTCTTGTGCGTTTCCCTTTGAAATTTTTCTTTATATTTTTTTGGTATGAATTTTTCTTCTGATTCTTCCGTGTCTCCCCTAATTGTCGTCCCCCCACCCACCCTCTATTATTCTTATAATAGATAAGAGATTGGAATTGGGGGGGGGGGGGGACTTCATGAGCTTAAACATATGCAGTAGGTTGATTTTTGCTTTAGGGATGCAAGTTCTGACTTGCTAATTTGGTTCAATGTTGACATATTTTTTTTGGAGGAGAGTGGGCAAGATTTGACAGCAGGGAACACAAGTTATACAGGGCTATAGGCTATTGCAGCAGAGTGGAAGGTTGTTTGTAGCAGCAGGTAAAAGGGTTGGACAGTTTGGACAGCAACTAATGCAAAGTGTTGGACTAGTTTTTTTGTGATATAGGATAGCAGTAGAATGGGCAGCAGTTCTTGACATGTTTTTAGTTTGAAGCAAGTTTGGATTGTTTTGCATAAGGTTTTGGAAATCGGCTTGAAGTTGTATTATGTTTTGGATAATAGGCTTCCTGAAATTAATGAACTTGTATAAGTATTTTTTTGTATGAATTTTATTATGTATGTAATGGCAATTGAATTTGGGTTTTGTAACGAATGTAAATGTTTCTTTGTATTGAGCTGATATTAAATGAATGAATTTTTCGTATTTTGAATCAAGATTTTAAACGTTGAATCCGTGAATGAGACTTGAATCTTGAATGAAAGATGGTAGAAATCAATGAATGATAAACTTGTCTTGATAATCTTTGAATCTATTAATGACCATGAAATAAATGTCGAATATTTGATATCTTAAACAAAATAATGAACAAAGGCAATGAACTTTGATATTTGTAACTCGACGATGTACTCCATTGCTCGTTTTTACTTTGTATACCAAGGAATCACACGAAGGAAACTTCTTAGTCTAGGATCAAACATTGACGAATCGTCCTTAAGAACTTGAACCAAGATTTTTCTTCATTTCACACTATATTTCAATCTCAACTCCATAATAATCACCTGGATGCACAAATCTTCCCTTAAACACACACTGTGACATAAACCAAAAGAGTGCCTTGAATCAATAAATTCTCGAAAAAACACTTAATACACTATTTACTGAGACAAAGCCTTTTCTAGTTGATGAAATTAACACAGGCCTAAATGCCTTGAAATGGAAATGATTTGAGAACACGAGGATGACCTAACCTACAAGATTCTCCGCTGAAATGATTATAGAAACCCTAGGATCGGCAACACAAATTCACCTGAGATGTAGATTGAATGAAGAAGGAGGCTTGAGATATTGAGAATCTACAAAACCCTGGTTGAAATTCAACTCAGTTGAAAATAAAGGTGAGAACCTTAACATCAACAAGTTGTAACCCTAACATCTTGCTCTTGAGACGTCTTTGAAATAGATGAAAGAGGAATTTCACAATAATAATGGATCCAAAACCCTAGTCCCTTGACAAAAATAGGGAAATAAACCATAATCCAAGTTCCGATGAGTTTGAGTGAGAAACAGCCTTGTAACTTGATGAGAAAGAACCCTACTCTAAAACTTAATTCCATAGTCCACTAATCGAGAACTAAATGAATTTTACTTTAACTAATGAAGGAACCTCAAAACTAATAGGAGACCCTAGTCTTTCATAAATACCGCTTCTTGATCTCAAGTACTCTATTAAATACAATGCATGATATGCAAATGAACTAGTGAAGATGATGTAGATGAAATGCGAAGTATAAGCTAGACAAAAGTAAAAGGTAGGACAAATTTGGGGTACGACTGGATGTTCCCAGGGGCCATATGTGTATGGTACACGCCCTATCCCCAAGAAAGAAAGGCCAACATCCTGAACGTGTATGGTATGTGTACGAGAGGAAGGCCATACACATATGGACTAGCCAATACGTGTATGGAGATATAGGAGGAGTTTTGGGGAGAAATTCCACTCTGATCATACGCGTATGGTACGCATATGAGGTTGGGAACTAGAGTAAAACTCATATGGTACGTGTAGGAGATGAGTGGAGAAACGATCCATACACGTGTGGGACAGGGTCATATGCATATGGGCAGGCTGAAGTACAGAACTTCCCATTTTTGTGATTTCTTTCTCGTTTCCGCGTGCAGTGTAGTTTCTCTTGACCCGTAATGAATATTACGACTTAAGTAGATATAGGAAGGCTAGTAATAATGGATATTGGGTTAAAATTTGGAACCTTTTATGGATTGTATGTTGCATGATGATAATAATATTAGTGGCCTTATTGGCAAGTGTTGAAGGCTTATGGCTTATGGTTGCATAGTTGTGGTGTTGCATGTTGACAATGCATGCATTCATTGGTGAGGTCTTATGACGTGTTGTTGTCCATAATGATGTTATGTTGAGGGCTTATGCCCTGTTGTTGCCCTATTTGGCATTTTGGAGATGGCTTACACCCTAATGGTACCACGTGTATTTAGTTGTTGTTGGTTTTATTACATTACACTATCTTGATTTGATGTTGTGTTATATGAATGAAGAATGTGTTGTGAAGCATTGTGTGAATTATGCAATTGTGTGAGTTACTACTCATTAGCATGTGACATGTATCATATATTTATTGAATATAATTATCACCCTTTTTTGTTGTGTTTGTGCTCATCGGGGAGTACAGATAACCATGTACCCAAGTAGTGCTTGGAGTGAGTGTTGCTTGATCGAGTCTTAGGAGTCGCTCTGATATGTAACACGGGATTTGGGAGTTTTTCCATGTTTTTGCATTATTTTTAATTGTTACGCATCTTCATTCATGATTATGTTGAACCATGCAACTTATGGAGTTTTTATTATTGTTTAGGTCTCAGCGTCATGAAGTAAATTAATTTGAGTTGTTCCGCTACTTGGTTGATTACTATGAATAAGTGAAGTAACAAAGTGACTTGAGACTTTATGAGTTTATTTGAAATATGTGACATCCCATTTATGGACTCTGATGTATTATTTTGTATATTTTTATTATAATTATTAGTATGGGAATGTGAGGTGTTACAATTGGTATCAGAGTAGGTTGGTTCGTCAGACCAGTTTGTCGAGTCAGTAGTGTACTATGACAGTTGAATATTCTTAATGTGTTTCTTCTAACCATTGTTTGATATTGTGGTATGAAATAGAGAAATGGATGGAAGAAATGATGTTGCTCTTGCTACTGCCTTATAGGATATGGCTCAGGCTGTGCAACATCAGCCTAATGCTGGTGGTAATGATGGGTTCTGTGTTTTAGATACATTCTAGAGGAACCATCTGCCTATGTTCGAGGGTAGGTATGGTATTGATGGAGCACAGAATTGGCTCAAGGAAATTGAGAGAATCTTTTTGGTTATAGACTCTTCTGAGGCACAAAAGGTGTGATTCAGTACACATATACTTGCAAAGGAAACTGATGACTGTTGGGTTAGCACTCGTCAGAGACTAGAGGGTGTAGGTGAAGAGATTACTTAGACTGTGTTCAGCAGGGAATTTTTGAGGAAGTACTTTCCTGAAGATGTTAAGGGAAAGAGAGAAATTGAATTTCTGGAGTTGAAATAGGGAGAATTGTCAGTGACCGAATATGCTGCTAAGTTCATAGAGCTGGAAAAGTTCTACCCTTACTACAACGAGGCGACTGCGGAATTTTCAAAGTGCGTTAAGTTTGAAAATGGGTTGCACTCAGAAATAAAGAAGGAAATTGGATATCAGTGGATCCGTAAATTTCCATATTTGGTGAATAGCTGCAGGATCTATGAAGAGGATAGTAAGGCTCACTACAAAGCTATAAATGAAAGGAGAAGCAGACCACAACAAAATCATGGGAAGCCTTACAATGCTCCAACTGACAAAGGCAAATAGAGGGTTGCTGATAGAAGAGAACAGGTGGGGGAGGTGCTCCTGTTGACGTCGTGTGTTACAGATGTGCGAATCCAAGTCATCAAAGTAATGTATGTACTGGAGAAGTGAAGAGGTGTTTCCGTTGTGGTAAGGTTGGGCATGAAATATCTGATTAGCGGAAATATGTTTCAACTGTGGCGAAGAAGGACATATCAACACTTAGTGTCAGAAACTGAAGAAAGCTCAATCTGGTGGAAAGGTGTTTCAATTAGCTAAAAATTAGACATCTAGTAAAGACCATTTAATTAAAGTTATATGTTTCATTAATAGTACTCCTTTAATTACTATTATTGATACTGGTGGTACCCATTGTTTTATTGTCGCTGACTGTGTGAAAAAGTTGGGTCTTGAATTATCTTCTATGAATGGAGAGATGGTTGTCGATACTCTAGTTAAGGGATCGGTGTCTACTTCTCTTGTATGTTCGATGTTCCCTTTGTCGATCTTCGACAGAGAATTTGTTGTGGATTTAGTTTGTCTACCATTGAGTGGCCTAGATGTGATTCTAGGTATGAACTGGTTTGAATACAATTATGTTCATATTAACTGCTACAATAAATCTGTGCAGTTTTCTACTCCTGATGAGGAAAGGGAATATGGACTCTTATCTGCTAGACAGTTGGATGAATTGATTCAAGACGAAGCTTAGGTGTTTTCTTTGATGGAGTCCTTATCTATTGAGAATCAAGTTGCAATTGAGGAGTTACAAGTAGTGCACGATTCTTGAAGGTTTCCCAAATGATATTCCAGATGTTCCGCCAGAAAGAGAAGGGGACTTTTCTATTGATCTTGTTCTTGGTACCAAACCCGTGTCTATGGAACCCTACAGGATGTCATCGTATAAACTAGCAAAGTTGAGGAAACAATTAGAAGACTTACTCAAAATGAAATTTGTAAGATCAAGTGTATCACCTTTGGGAGCTCTGATGTTGCTAGTGAAAAATAAGGATGGTAGTATGAGACTTTATGTTGATTACCGACAGTTGAATAAACTACAAGTTAAAAACAAGTATCCACTTTTGAGATTAGAAGACTTGATGGATCAACTAGTGGGTGCGCGTGTGTTTAGCAAGATTGACCTAAGGTCAAGATATCACCAGATTTGAGTCAAATATGATGATATTCAGAACACAACTTCCAGAACTCGATATGGGCATTATGAGTACTCGGTGATGCCATTCGATGTTACCAATGTACCAGGAGTGTTTATGGAGTATATGGACCATATCTTTTACACATACTTGGATCAGTTCGTAGGCATACTCATTAATGATATTTTGATATATTCCAAATCAGAGGAAGATAAAACTGAGCATTTTCGAATTGTATTCCAAGTGTTGGAAGATAAAAATCTATATGAGTTGTCAAAGTGCGAGTTCTGGTTAAATAAGATTAGTTTTCATGGTCAACTTATTTCACGTGGTGGTATTATTTTAGATCCATCCAAGATAGATGCAGTGTTGCAGTGGGAGACTCCAAAGTCAGTTACAGAAATTAGAAGCTTTTTAGGCTTCGCTGGTTATTATAGAAGGTTTATTGAAGTATTTTCTAAGTTAGCACTCCCGTTAACTTAGCTAACTTGTAAAGGCAAAGCATTTGTGTGGGATATCTAGTGTGAAAAAAGTTTTACAGAGTTAAAGAAGAAATTGTCGCCGGCTCTGATTTTGATATTACCCAATCTTGAAGAATCGTTTATTGTGTATTGTGATGCTTCTAAATTGGGTTTAGGTGGTGTGTTTATGAAGAATGATAA